GGACACGCCGAGGGGGTGCCAGGGCACGCCAACCGCCCGCAGGGGGCCGGCTTGCTTTCGCAGCAGGGAGAGAAGGGCTGCTGGGAACGCTCTCGGACTGGCCCCGAGGGGGGGCAGGGAGACCGGGTCGGGCCCAGAGCCCACGCCGCAGCAGCTCTACCTCCAACCTGAGCCGCTCCCTATAGAAAATCTGCAGGTAGCGCCCGAAGGCCTCCTCTCGCATCTCCCTGGTGAAGCGCAGTTTCTTGGCCGGGCTAATTTTCCCCTCCTGCAGCAGCTGCAAGTCCCGATTCTGCTTCGCCAGCTGGGAAAGGCCCTGCAAAGGACCCCCAACTCAGGGCCTCCAACGCCACGGAGCAAAGCCCGTGCGCGGCTGCGCTCTGCCCGCTGTCCCGGCCGGCTCCAGGCAAACCTGGCCTGGCCTCTTTCGCAGCGCTGACTGACCTCTAGCTTGACCTGGGCTTCCCTGACCTCCCTGGACTCCTTCAGGGCCATCCGGCGGGCTCCAGACATAGGAGGCCTGCAGAAACAGGAGCAGAACCTCCTCTTCTCCTCGCGGCCACCAGTGCGCTTCCTCCCTCCTTCCCTGGAGTAGGGGCTCTTTCCTTGCAGAAGCCACAGAGGTGGGGCCACCCCCCAAGTCGGGAGGGCCCAGGCTAGCAACCTCTGCCAAAGTCCCACTCCCAGGGTGCTTCCCGCCCAGGTTCCGGCTCACTCTCCATTCCAGGTGAGCTCCGCGTTTGTGTCCCTGTTACGGCCATTATCCTGAACTCTCCTCCGCGGAGAGTCCTCCACCGCACTTCTTTCAAAACCCGCCTTTCCCACAAATCCCTTGACAAAATATACTGGTCCCCTTGCCCCCCTCCCCCGCAAGACATTCAGCCTAAAAAACAGAGATAAAACCACGGCCGTCTAATCCACTGATCTCATGCATTTTGTATCTTCACGACCTCCCGGGCCAGGAACCGGGAGACCCTGAGTTCCGGTCCCGCCTTAGGCATGAAGCCGGCTGGTGGCTTTGAGCCAGTCCCTCTCTCAGCCCTGGGAAGAAGGCCGCCAGGGCAAGCCCCTTCTGAAAGTGCTGCCAAGAAAATGGCAGGGGCTCGCCGAGGGTGACTCAAAGGCACGCACACGCAAAAAAGCCCTTGAGACTTAAAGGGGCCCCAAGGCGGAGGGAGCGCAAGCAGAGTTCAGAACGACGGGACCATCCTGGAGGGGCCCAGAATCCGTGACGGAGGAGGCCCCCGGGCCTCCTGATCCCAGGCCCAGATACCCATCAAGTGTTCGGGGGGATGGGTGCCGCCCAAGCCCCCTCTGCTCAGCCCCAAGAGCTCACTCGGCCTCCTTCACAGGCAGCTCCTGCATCAACCGGCGGCGGTTCTCTCTGACCAGGGCCTCGAAGCTGGATGTGCTGATGGGGAGGGAAACGTCCTTGAGGGGCTCCAGGAACTTTGCGCACAGCAGCTGCGAGAGGAGGAGGAGGGCCTAGGTCACGGCGGCAGACCCAGCGCGCCTGTCCTTCACATGCCCCAGATCCGGGGAATGGGGCAAGTCCGGCTGGGAAGGGGTCCCTGGACGTCCGCTGGGCCCACCTTCATCTCGTAGTGGCTGGGCAGGTACTTGCTGTGGGGGATGAGGTACAGGTGCTGCTCCAGGCCAACCAGCAGGTCCCCCTTGTGGTTGGCGAAGGCCAAGCTCTCTGGGATGGTGTTCAGCTTCAGGTGCCTGCAGCGGGGACCCTGCGGGTCAGGGGAGCAGAGCGGGGCCCCGGGCCCCAGACAGGGGACAGACTGGGGCAAGCACACAGGATGGGCAAGACCACCCCTCTGCTGCCGAGAGATACGATAAGAAGGCACATAAACAGCCTCAAGCCTCTTTCACGGTGCAATATTCAGCCGCTATGGCGCGCCGGGGCAGCGGGGAGGGCTTTTCGGCAGCAGCCACACTACTGCCAACTGGCTGCCTGCAGCCGGGCTGGACCTCCCACTGCAGAATGGAAGACCCCCCCATGGAGATGGGGGGAGGGCCAGCACTTCCTTGGGAGAAGAGCCCAGCACCCCGCTGGACCAGCACTGGGGGGCGTGGGCACAGATTGCCCTTCTGCTGCCGCAGGCAAACGTGCTGGGGAGGGGCAGGTGGGCGGGCTGCACCACGCTCCGCCCTCTGGAGACCAGGCCCCTGACCCCCACCCCCACCCGGCCCTCACCGGAGCAGCCTGTTCCGCATGTCCCAGATCTTCACTGAGCCGTCCCGGCTGGCTGAGGCAAACAGCTTCAGGTTCGGGCAGCAGCAGAGGCCGGGGGAGAGGATGCCGGGTGCGCAGTGAGTGGCGGGGGGGGGGGGGGGGG